GGGCTGGCGAGCATGCGCGCTGGCAAGCAGGTGGGCTGGCGAGCAGGCGAGCAAGCGGGCTGGCGTGCAGGCAAGTAGGCGGGCGGGCGAGCAAAAGAGCAGGCGAGCGTGCGAGCTGGCGAGCAGGCGGGCTGGCGGGCTGGCGACCAGGCACTAAGGCGGGCTGGAGAGCAGGCGAGCGTGGGAGCTGGCGAGCAGGCGAGCGTGCGAGCTGGCGAGCACGCGGGCTGGCGGGATGGCGAGCAAACGGGCTGGTGAGCAGGTGGGCCAGCAAGCAGGCGAGCAAGGGAGCAGGCGGGCGGGCGAGCGTGCGAGCTGGCGAGCAGGCGGGCTGGCGGGCTGGCGAGCAGGTGGGATGGCTATGAACTAAGGCGCTGACGGGCGCAGGCCAGCGGCGGCTGGCGTGGGCTACACGACGAAGAGGAGAGGGTGGGGAGGGGACGAGATGCGAGGCGCGCAATTAGGGCCGAGGCGCGCTAGGCTAGGGTGTGCTAGGGCGGAAGCGTGAGTAGAGGGCGAGACCTAGCTCTAGATAGCATGTTAGATTGTCGAGATGGATCTAAGGGAAAATGTCGAGGGTTACAAAGGTAGGACTGTACCCTCTAAGAATTGACCCAACTAAGGCTATAATAATAAATCAGCTAGCCTAGATAATTATATTGGTTGACACTCAGATATCAAACAAAATCCGTCTGATGGTCTCAAAATCATACCTGTTTTTTTCCATTCTTCTGATTTTTTTACGGTCTGAATTAATTCGTCCAGGCAAGCCATAAGATTTCGTTTGAAAGTTCAGACTAGGTGTAGAGCTTCGTCTGAAAAATCCAATAGTGCGGATTTTTTCATCTGAGACCTTCTTCCTCGTCCCCCTCTTTCTTCATTTCAGGACCCAATACTTGGTATCTCGACAGCTGTTGTGGTTGGCATATGTGCTCCGCTGAAAGAAGCTTCATCACCAATCAGCGTCCACTTCGTTGTCCGATACCTGTAAAAGTTGCAAACGGACAAACTTTCATGGCCAGATCAATCCGGAGTGTAATGCTCGAGTCCGTCGACACGGGATATTCCTTACATGTTTCCAACGTTCTTATCGTCGCCGGCCTTGGTTTCAATCTTCTCTCCACAGCTCAGCTCCTGGCACACAAGATTCGCACACAAGGCAATTGTGATACAATGGATCAGGAGTTATGGCACAATTTGACAAACACTTACCTCGGTCGCGCTGCTACTCAACATGGTGTATCCGTTCTTCAGTTCACGGCACAGGGCACCTCAAGCGATTCTGAACGCGTCCTCGCTCTTGGTCCCTGGGATCATCCCGACGAAACAGATTATCAACAAGTTGATATTGATTTTCGTGCAACTTATGTACCCACGACTTCTCGAACTGCAGCTGCCGTTCTTACCGCTCTTGATACTTGGGAGTTCAACACCGCCAATGAAAGTGCCAACGCTTGGTGAATGTTTTATAACACTCGCGCCGCCTTCCAAGGAACTCCAGCTCCACTTTGGGGAGAAATCAGTGGACTTGCAGCTGATGAACCCGACCGAAGTCGACGAGGAAGATGCGAAAGCATAAGTCACCGAGCAGACTAGTCTTCCAGTAGCTGTCGCAGAACCATCTGCCATCACATCAACAACTGTCGTATTAGATGTTGCAACCGCAACTGCAACAGAACCTTCAACCATTCAGCTAACGCTTACCCGTTTCGTGAAAGGGGAAAACGACATGTCTCCATATCTTTCTCCTTTCATCGTTTCTTTGTTTTATACTAACGCAGATTTTTATCTGCGATCATCAGGACACAAAGCCATAGAGGACATTTGGCATCAACGGTTAGGACATCCATCACAAGGGATTTTAAATCATTCAATTCAAGCAGCAGTTCTTGATAAAAACCGTCTTCTCTTACCTGACGGCACGGAGCTGAAACCACAGTCTTGCCCAACGGTTTGCACCACGTGTCCGGTCGCCAATCTTACCCACGACCCGTTTCCAAGTCATTTTCCTGGCTCCACTCGTTATAAATTGATGCAGAAAGTCTACAGTGATATTCTCAACTTACCTGAAGCAGGACCTAAAGAGGAGCAGTACGTGATTACCTTTATCGAAGCATCTACTCACTACGTTTGGACAGCCAACCTTCCTGCTCGATATCTCGCCCATTCGGTCTTCGTCGCATGGCTCGCCGTCGCTGAAAGAGAGTATGGAACGAAACTGCAAGAATTCCAGAGTGATGGCACAGGGGAGTACACGAGCAACGCTTTCACAGACTACCTCCAAACGCTCGGCATCAAACGGAAGCAATCTCTGCCACATGCACAACAACAGATGAGGGTAGCACAACGGATGAATCGAACTCTGCAGGAGAAGATGCGTGCCCTGCTGACGCAGGCAGCTCTTCCTCCTCGTTTTTGGCCTCATGCGATGGACCACGCCGTGCTGTTACACAACCTGCTGTCTTCTACGTCACTACCCGAGTATTCTTCACCTCACCTGCAGTGGACACGTACAGTGGGAAGTACAAAATTGTTACGCGTTTTTGGGTGTGCCGTGCAGTTTTGACCTCCAATTTCAGCACTCGGCAAATTTTCCGAACGGGCAAAATGGGGGGTACACCTCGGCATCGAAAAACAGTATCATGCATGGAATATTTTGGGTCTTCGTTCAAACCAAATCGTCCCTTCACATGATTGTCTCTTCTATAAGCGACTCACGTTGCCAGTTTTTTGTGCCCACCAAACAGCATCTGCCAACCCCGTCAGGCTGTTCGAAGGTTCGCGTGCATTTGCAACCGACGAAGCCGAAGCTGATGTACAGGACGAGGCGGTTTCTGAAGCCTCCGAAGTTGCCTCAACAGACATTCCCGAACCTGTCACGTCCTGGCATCCCGGAATTTATTCCCCTCGCTGATGCTGACCCGGACGATGTTCGCGAAGTCCACCTCGGTTACGAATGCGATCTTCAACAGCAGCCGATGCCAGGCGTCTCCGACGAAGCAGTCCGTGTTACACCTGACGAAATTGGGGGGGAAGTAGGGTCAGAAGAAAATTTCGCAGGTGCAAACAAAGAACGTCCGCGTTTTACAGAAACTGGTTTACAGATCCTTGGATTTGCAGTCGCAGTACAGTACAACGACAGTAAAATACCTGAACCGAAAACAGTTCGACAAGCTCTGACGAGTCCTCACCGAGAAAAATGGCGCGAAGCCATGGACAGAGAGCTAGCAACTCTTAAGAATCGCGGTACATGGGAGCTGATACCGATATCAGAGGTAAAAGGAAGAAAGGTTCTTACCGGAAAGTGGGTCTTCCGTGTCAAGACTAATGCAGATGGATCGTTCAAGGCGCGATGGGTCGTCCGCAGGTTCGAGCAGACGTTCGGCCTTGACTACGAGCTTACCTTTGCTCCCGTCGGTCGACATACGAGTGTTCGGATTTTACTCTGTGTCGCCGCCTGCCGCAATCTATGATTTTGCCAAATCGATGTGGCAAATGCTTTCCTCTACGCACCCGTCGATGCACTCATTCTGGTAGAGTACCCGCACTCGTATACTACTAACTCACCGAGTGTGTGCCGTCTCAGAAAATCGCTCTACGGTATTAAGCAGGCACCCAAGCTCTGGCAGCAGTATTTACATTCACAGCTTCTCACTGCTGGTTTTCGACAACTACCGCATGATCAGGGGATGTATCTTCTAACTGATCGAAGCAACTACATTCTACTCGTCGCTTACGTTGACAACATTCTCTACGTCAGTACAACTAAATCGCTCGCCAACACCTTCATACTGAAACTACAGAAAAACCTACAGCTCACCGTCTTTGAGTCAGTCTCCCAGTTTCTCGGTCTAAACATTTCCTGCTCATCGACATCCATTCATCTAACCGCTTCGAAGTATGCGGCTACGCTCGCTGCACGCTTCAACCTTACTCCTACCACTGTCACTACATCGTACCGTTCCTTACAGACAGATTACAAACCGAATACTACACCGTTGAGTCTAACCGATTTACAGACTTATCAACAACAGTTAGGCTGTCTTCTCTTCGCCGCTGTTACTTGTCGTCCGGATCTAGCCTATGCGGCTAGTCAACTTGCGCAATACCTACGCCGTCCTGAAGAGGAGCATCAACTTGATCTCCTACGCGCGCTTCAGTTTTTCATATCGACTCCTAACGTCGGTTTAGTCTACAACGTCATCGACTGTAAAACGTTATATCTACACGGTTTCGTCGACGCCGATCACGCTGCCGATACTACTAATCGACGCTCGCGTACTAGATTTATCTACCACCTTGAACCTATCGGGCCTATTTCTTGGAATTCGACGAAACAGGAGATGATTGCTCTCTCCTCTGCTGACGCTGAATTTATCGCTGTCTGCACAGCAACTCGCAAATGACTTTACCTGCAGGAGCTCTTGGAAGAAGCGAAGTTGACGACGAGTACTCAGTTTACTTTGCAGTGCGATAACCAGAGTGCAATTCGCATCGCACACCAGCCCGGGTTCGTCAACAGGACGAAACACATTTTACTGCGTTACTTTTTCGTCAATAATGAAGTTGAGAAGGGGAGGATGCGATTGGTCTACTGTTCGACCAACGAAATGGCTGCCGATTTCCTCATGAAGAAGCTGACACGACAGAAGTTTCAGTACTGTAACAAGCTTTGCGGGATCTTCAAGAAATGACACTATCGGACTTCCAGAAATGAAGGGGAGTGTTGTGATATGATTCATACTTAGCATTTCTGTAAGTCGATTATCGATAGATAGTGTCGAATCCTACTGTAGAAGATAAGTCCGTAGGATGACGTCAGCAAATAGCGCTCGTCATGAGGACAGTCGTTTCAGTCACGCGAACAGTTACGTCTCTTCAGTGTCATTTAGGGCGCATAGTGCGATAGGGTCAACAAGTACACTAGCAAACAGGTACTTATGTTAGTTATAAAAAGTAGCATGTTTCATTGTTTAGACAACGTTGTTCTGAACTTAATTCTGAAGTTGTTCTTCAGCAAATTATGGTCAACACTTACAAGTTCTAAGACTTCCGCTGTCTTACTAGTCTAGCATTCCAGTAAAGATCCTAGGCTAACACTTGAGGTTTCCCAAGTGTTCATATTTGCAGATTCTATACTCAGTCTCCTGCAACACCTGTCAAATTATTACAGATTCAACACCAACTGCATGTCGCATTGTGTCGCGTGTCTGCACATGTGGCAGCACTTTGCGACAAGCACCTCGGTTGCTGATCTACAGGCTGCAAAACGGCAGGATCAGGAACCAGGATCAGGAATGCTAATCCTGATCCTTGATGGAAGGAATACGTCCTTAGCCACCGGTGTGTTGGTGTCCCACCCAGCAGCGGCAGCCATGGCAAGAAACCCTTCAAACTCGCTGCCTAGAGCGTCTAGAGGCACTTTCAGAAGGCCAACTGCTATCCCGCACTCACTATCTGGGAGCAGCAGCTGCAATGCGCCTATCTGGCTGGCTTCTCCCCGGCAAAAAGCCGTTTATCTGACTTCTGAGCCAACTCAAAAGGTCACTGAGAAGCCAAATGCTCTCCCCCACTCACTATCTGGGAGCAGCAGCTGTAAGCCGCCTATCTGGCTGCTCCTCCGGCGCCTCACAGTCGATTCCTTGGGGTTGAAGGATTAGCAAGGGGGCGGAGAGAGGCACCTTCGCCACCAGCGTGTTGGTGTCCCACCCAGCAGCGGCAGCCATGGCAAGAAACCCCTCGAACTCGCTGGCTAATGCGTCCAGAGACGCTTTTAGAAGGCTGCTACCACTGCTGCCACCACCGCTGCTGCTGCTGCTGCTACCGCTGGCCTCCTTCTCCCCATCTCCCCAGTGCTGTCTCCTCCTGTCTCTGTGCTGCTCTTCCTCTTGGTATTCCCCATGCTCCTGGGAAACCCCACTTGGCAGCACCTGCTGCCTCTGCCGCTGCTGCTGTTTCTGCTGCTGCTGCAGCCAGCAGGCCTGCCACACAACCCTCAGAACTGACCCCTTCGATGCTCCTTGCTGCAATGGGGGGCGTGGGGGGTAGGGTGAGGAGGTTTATTTTGAGCCGACTCAAAATGCTGCAGCCAGCACGCCTGCCACACAACCCTCAGAACTGACCCCTTCGATGCTCCTTGCTGCAATGGGGGGGGTGGGGGGTAGGGTGAGGAGGTTTATTTTGAGCCGACTCAAAATGCTGCAGCCAGCAGGCCTGCCACACAACCCTCAGAACTGACCCCTTCGATGCTCCTTGCTGCAATGGGGGGGGTGGGGGGTAGGGTGAGGAGGTTTATTTTGAGCCGACTCAAAATGCTGCAGCCAGCACGCCTGCCACACAACCCTCAGAACTGACCCCTTCGATGCTCCTTGCTGCAATGGGGGGGGTGGGGGGTAGGGTGAGGAGGTTTATTTTGAGCCGACTCAAAATGCTGCAGCCAGCACGCCTGCCACACAACCCTCAGAACTGACCCCTTCGATGCTCCTTGCTGCAATGGGGGGGGTGGGGGGTAGGGTGAGGAGGTTTATTTTGAGCCGACTCAAAATGCTGCAGCCAGCAGGCCTGCCACACAACCCTCAGAACTGACCCCTTCGATGCTCCTTGCTGCAATGGGGGGGGTGGGGGGTAGGGTGAGGAGGTTTATTTTGAGCCGACTCAAAATGCTGCAGCCAGCAGGCCTGCCACACAACCCTCAGAACTGACCCCTTCGATGCTCCTTGCTGCAATGGGGGGGGTGGGGGGTAGGGTGAGGAGGTTTATTTTGAGCCGACTCAAAATGCTGCAGCCAGCAGGCCTGCCACACAACCCTCAGAACTGACCCCTTCGATGCTCCTTGCTGCAATGGGGGGGGTGGGGGGTAGGGTGAGGAGGTTTATTTTGAGCCGACTCAAAATGCTGCAGCCAGCACGCCTGCCACACAACCCTCAGAACTGACCCCTTCGATGCTCCTTGCTGCAATGGGGGGGGTGGGGGGTAGGGTGAGGAGGTTTATTTTGAGCCGACTCAAAATGCTGCAGCCAGCACGCCTGCCACACAACCCTTAGTACTGTCCCCGTCGCTGCTCTTGCTGCAATGGGGGGCGGGGTGGGGTGAGGGGTGTCTTTTGAGCCGACTCAACATGCTGCATCCAGCATGCCTGCCATACAGCCCTCCGTACTGTCCCCTTTGATGCTCCTTGCTGCACCAAATCATGGAGGGAGGTAAGAGGGAGAGGGAGGAGGAGGGGGGGGGGGATTTGAGCAGATTCAAAATTTGCAACCGGCACGCCTGCTCCACAGCCCTCAATACCGTTGCCTTCAATTCTCCTTGCTGCATTGGACATTAGATCATGGAGGGTGGTAAATTGGGGGGGGGGTGGTTGGGGCTGGGGGTTGGGAAGGGTGGAAGAGAAAGGGAGGAATCCACAGGTGGAGATGAGCACACATGAGAAGCACGTTCGTTGGGAGGTTTTAGGCAAGCAGAGGCTACTTTTGAGGCGCCTCAAAACTAGAATCCACAGGTGGTGATGAGCACACATGAGAAGCACGTTCGTTGGGAGGTTGTAGGCAAGCAGAGGCTACTTTTGAGGCACCTACAAAACTGGAATCCACAGGTGGTGATGAGCCCACATGAAAAGCACTCTTTTCCTCTTCTTTCGTTGGGAAAGGTTGTGGGCAAGCAGAGGCTAGGCTACCTCAAGAAAGGGGAGAGGGTAGAGAGGGAGAATGAGATAGTGAGACAGGAGCCTGAAAATGGAGGCGGCAAAAGAGATTACCCTGAAGAGGCAAGAAACGTTTTACCTTGAAGAAGAAAGAAAGGTTTTACCTTGAAAATAACCGAGAATGCTCCGTTATCATCCATTAGAAGCACATGCTGCTCCTCCCGGTACAGTGCCAGGAGGTCTGGGAGCGCCTGGAGACGACAGGAAGACGCAGTGGCAAAATCGGATGAGATAGAGGGCGAGAGGGAGAGGGAGTGAGGGAAATAGAAGGTGCTGCTCTCATCCATTATAAGCACATGCTGCTCCTCCCAGTACAGTGCCAGGAGGTCTGGCAGCGCCTGGAGTCACTGCAAGGTGCAGCGACAGCATGGAACAGATGCAAAGACAGCAAGGCTCGCTAAGGACGTGGCCAAAATTTTGGACGTGTAGAATGGAATGCTTTGGAACTATGCATGCATGTATGTGGCCTTCCCAGACAAAATAGGACAGCAGACAGAAAATCACAGCAGACAGAAAAACGCCGCAAGCAAGCAAGCAAGTTTTTTGCTACTTTAAGCATTTTAAATCGCTGCCACGTAAAGTCATGGCACCTAAGTGGTGTTCTATCGGACTCACCGCAGACGAAAAGACACAAGAGACAGAAAAGCACAACTGACAGAAAGTGATGAACATGATGAACAATCTATGCGCAAGTGATGAACATGATGAACAATCTATGCGCAAGTGATGAACATGATGAACAATCTATGCGCAAGTGATGAACATGATGAACAATCTATGCGCAAGTGATGAACATGATGAACAATCTATGCGCAAGTGATGAACATGATGAACAATCTATGCGCACGAACCAACCCAATGGCCGACAGCACAGCATGCATGTGGTCTGTCCGGTGCATGAGTTACACAGGCCGTGGCGGGACACACACAGCAATTAACAGCAAGCAAAAAACGAGAGAAAAAAAGACAATTATATAGATATGTTTACACACAAACCATTCGATTGGCCGACTGTCGCTCCAGCAGGGCCGACATGTCAGCAAGGGAGCAGCCGAGGCGAATGCTGGGGGAGGTGAGCCGGCGGGGCAGCCATAGGCGCTCCTCTCGGTTCGCTGCCTGGACGGAGGGTAGCGTTGGCGCCCCTGCCACGTGCGCTCTGGCCAGAATAGCCGTGCGCTTGAAACTGAGCTGGAGGGAATGAGGCAGGGTGGGATGGGGTGGAAGTGTGTTAGCCGAGCTGATGATGCATCCCCAGGCGTTCCTCTCAGTTCACAACCTGGACGGTGGGTAACTTTTCTTCTAGGCGCCTCAAGAATAGACTCCGAGCCGATGATGCAGCCAGAGGCGCTCCTCTCGGTTCACAGCCTGGACGGAAGGCAGCGATGGAGCCCCTGCCACGTGCGCCTTGGTCAGAATAGCTGTGCGCTTGAAACTGAGCTGGAGGGAGCTGGAGGGAATGAGGTGGAATGGGTGGGATTCGGTGGAAGTGTGTTAGCCGAGCTGATGATGCATCTCCAGGCGTTCGTCTCGGTTCACTGCCTGGATGGGGGGTAGCGTTGGAGCCCCTGCCACGTGTGCTCTGGCGCCGATGACTGTGCGCTTAAAGCTGAGCTGAGAGGATGGGGGAGGGGGAGAGAGGTGGGAGGGAGAGAGGAGAGAGGAGAGTGGAGAGAGGAGAGTGGAGAGAGGAGAGAGGAGAGAGGAGAGAGGAGAGAGGAGAGAGGAGAGAGGAGAGAGGTGAGAGAGCCCCTGACACGTGTGCTCGGGCGAGGAGGGCTATGCGCTTGAAGCTGAGCTGAGAGGATGGGGGAGGGGGAGAGAGGTGGGAGGGAGAGAGGAGAGAGGAGGGAGGAGAGAGGAGAGAGGTGAAAGGTGAGAGAGCCCCTGACACGTGTGCTCGGGCGAGGAGGGCTGTGCGCTTGAAGCTCAGGTGAGAGGAGAGCAGGGGGGAGTGAGAAAGAGGCATGCGGGATGGGTTTGTTAGTGGAGTTTTCAGGGGGCGAGGGATGCCGGCACGGAAGCCCCAGGCGCTCCTCTCAGTTCACAGCTTGGACTAATGCAAGGGCTGGTGCTCTGGCTACGAGTGCTCTGGCTACGAGTGCTTTGGCGAGGATGGCCATGTGCTTGAAGCTGAGCTAAGAGGAGAGTGGGGGGGAGGGGGAGGAGGGGGAGAGGTGGGACGGATAGGCTGGGGCGCTGAAAGGTGAGAGGAGAGGCGGCAAGGTAGCCAGAGGCGCCCCTCTCAGTTCTCTGCTTCCGGAGCCAGAGACGACGATTGCAAAACAGAAAAGTTCCTCCACCACCTCCTTCCCTCCTGCTTCCCCTCCGCAGTCCACACAACTCCCAGAAGCAACCTGCAGAACAGAGAGTGGATTGAATCTGAATGCCAGGTGTGATGCGCGCAGCACAAGCCACGTGGAGATCAGGCTCGAATACGACTTGGCTATGGCCGACCAACTCAACAACAGCTTGAGCCACCGCAACTCGTACAAAGTCACCGCTTACGGAGTCGAACTCCAAAACACAGAGTGGCTTGAATCTGAACGGCTCTGCAACGAGCACAGCACAGCCCACGCGAAGACCACGCTCCAATACGACTCGGCAAGTTATGGCGAGCTCAGCAGCAGCACAGCCCAAAAATAGCATGAGGCAACCCAACACGTGCCAATACAGAATGTGGCAGTACAACACTTACGGAATCAAACTCAAGGACGGAAAGCGACTTGAATCGGAGGGCCAGATGGGACGAGCGCAGCACAGCCCACGTGGAGACGAGGCTCCAATACGACTCGGCAATGTAGGGCGAGCTCAGCAGCAGCACACCACACCCGAGCCCTGCCAGCTGCGCCATCACCTTGTACACCTCCTCCTTCGCCACTACCTCCCCTAAGTTCGCTGAAAGGGCGAAGTGCGTTTGGATAACCCTAGCCGAAGGGTCTTTCAGCCCCTTGGCTACTGCTTTCGTGAGGTTGCCTAGGGAGGCTAGGAGGAGGAAGTGGTTCGGCGCGAGGGGAGTGGCGAGCTCGAAGATGGCCCCGGCCGAGCCTATCAGGTCCGCGACGAACCTCCACTGCTTCGGGTCCTCGTCGAAGATGGCGCCGAACCGGCCGCCCACTAGCAGGCGGCCGACCGCACCTATGCCGTCCTTTGCCACCCATTTGATGGCTGCGGTGGCGGCGGCAGCTGAGGCAGGGTCTACTGCCGGGAGAGCGGCTGCTGCTGTGGTGGCTATGGTTGCTGCTCCTGCTGCTACGGTTGCACCTACTGCTGCTCCTGCTGCTGCTCCTGCTGCCACTGCACCTGCAGCACCAGCAGTGGCAGCACCAGAAGCAGCACCAGCAGCAGCGGCACCAGTAGCACCAGCAGTAGCAGCAGCACCAGAAACAGCGGCAGCGCCAGCAGCTGCAGTAGCCCCACCTTTAACAAGGGATCCCACTCCCACGGCTTGTAGCAGCGTGGAGGTGACGAGGGTGGATGACGCCCACCCCGTTATGTGCACCGGGAACTGCCAGAGCCTACATGGGGGGAGGGTAGAAAGGGGAGGCGTGTGAAGGGGATGAAGGGACGGACGAGGGGACAGGGTGAGGGATCCTATTCCTACTGCCTGCAGCAGAGTGGAGGTGATGAGGTGGATGAGGCCCACTGTGTTATGTGCACCGGAAACTGCCAAAGCCTGTTGTTTCGAGGGGGGGTAAGGGAAGGACGGGGGGACAGGGTGAGGGCTCCTACGCCAACTGCTTGCAGCGGAGTTGGAGGTGACGAGGGTGGATGGCGCCCACCCTGTGACGTGGACCGGAAACTGCCAGAGCCTGTGTCACGGGGCAGGGAAGGGGAGGAAGAAACGCAACGGAGAAATTTGAAGCTCATACTCCTACGTCAAGAAGAAACTCAATCAGAGAGGGATGCGGGGAGAGGAGGGAAGGGGGGGGAAGAGGGGAGCAGGGGTATGGGGAATGAGGTCTAGGATAGGGCTAAATGAATGGATGGACGGAGGACCAAGACAACATGCCTGGAGAGGAAGAGCAGTCAGGCTGGGATCTTACATATACGTTGTGTAGTCACTGGTAAGGCTGTCAGGGTATCCAGCGGGCAGGAAGAAATTCTTTGCTGACTGGACCAGCGAGTCAAATTGGCCGCTTCGGGCAGGCTCGCTTCTGCCTCCGTTACGGTCACCCTCGTTAGAGCCACCAGCAGCACCATTGGCAGAAGTAACAGCAGGGGGGATGGAGGAAGGGGGTTCTGCCACGTGTACAGCACCTTCAGACCGGGTGACTCGATACCTGGGAATGTGGAGCGAGGAGGAAACAGGGAGAGGAAGAAGGGGTGAGGTGTGAGTGAGGGAGGGTCCAAGGCGATTGAGAGGGGTATAAGTAGCACCTTCAGACCAGATGGCCTGATACCTGGGCTGAGAAAGGAAAATAAGGAAACAGGAGGAGACAGGGAGAGGGCGAAGGGGTGAGGTGTGAGGGAGGGTCCAAGGCGATTGACTGGGGTGTAAGCAGCAACTTCAGGTTGGAGACTCGGTGCCTGAAAATGGAAATAACGAAACAGGGAGAGGAGGAAGGGGTGAGGTGAGATGTGAGGGAGGGAGCACGGCGACTGAGAGGGACAGAGGAATAGGGGGGGAGGGGGGGGAGGTTGCACAACGTGTGCTGCACTACGAGACCGGGCATGGGTGAGAATTGACGACCTAGCTCCATTAAACGGGATAGGGCGTATGGTGGGGAGAGAGGGAAGGAGGAAGAAAAAGGGTGGGGACGGGGACAGCGGGGGGGTAAGAGATTGATTCACCCTGGTCACGATGTACCGCTAGGAGATACAGCGCATGAGAGGGAAAAATAGGGTTTGCGAGACTACAGGAATCAGGGGAGGAGTTCAGGTCGGTGAGGGGTGAAGTCCAGAATGCTTGGGAGGGGGAACGGTCACCACTGGATACATCCTCTATGAAGGCCCGGAGTGCTTTCAGCCTTTCTGAGAGAAACAAGCGGGTTTGTCTTTTGGGTTGACTCAAAAGCAAGCTGAATACATCCTCTATTAAGGGCCGTAGTGATTTCATCACTTCTGAGAGAAACAAGCTAGGCGAGGCGGAAACCAAGAGGTAAAGCGTGGTAGCCGGAAAGGGGAAGAATCATCAGCATCGACCCACCTCCTTATCGACGCATTCGCGCGTCTTTCTTCAATAATAAGCCCCTCCGCCTGCTGCTCTCTCGACACGTCACCATCTTTCCCTCTCTTGCTGTCGCTATCTCCCCGGACGTTTCCCTCTTGGCCGTTCCCGCTGCTATTTCGCGAACTATTCCTGTCGTCCGGATTATTATTCCCGTTCGAGCTGCCAGAGCCAGCCTTGCACCGAAACCTTAACGTCCTTGACTTAACGGAGAGCGACGTCCTCGTGTTACGCAACGTCTTAAAGCGGGGATAGGGTTGAGACCATCGGCTAAACGTACCCCTTGTTAATAACGAGTGTGGTATATTGCTTGCACCATTCGTGACTGATACACGATGGCTACTGAATGGTGACTTCGGGTAAGCTGACATGGCACGATAAGGCGGTGATGACGTGGCGTGATGACAAGGTGGCGTCCCAAGTTGCCGTGCTGAAAGCGGAGCGGCCATAATAACTCCTCTTAAACACTGGGGTCGCTTGCTAGAGAAGGCACGGCGACGGGAGAGCTACAAGAACGACGAAAGGATGTCGGCGGTGGGACGTCGGAAGACACTGTACGCTCGAAGAAACCAAGGCCGCCGCACTTGTCAGTTGTACTGTAGAGAGTTCATGGGCCACGGGAAGCAGAATCGTCTTGATCAGATCCGTCTTGAATCGGGTGGCAAGTCTCGGCCAGCTAGAGTAGCCGTGCTGGCCGGAAACCCGGCAATTTCCGAGCCATTAATACCCACAAGTTATAGCACGAGTGCTTGGCCGATATGATCTAGCTGCGCACGCTTGGCAGTGCGGCTGAAGCTGACGGGCAATGTGTTGTTGTTGTCACCACTTGCCGCCGCAGCTGCCAGCTGCCAGCTTCGGATTACCAGCCAGGCGTTTCCTGAAAGGCCGAACGATGATAAAGTGAAGCGCCACTTCAGAAGACCAAGGGCCAAAGCTGAAATCCAGGGGGCGAGCGTAAGCGCACCGGCCGCCAGTGTTGCTGCTTGCCGCCTCTATTATTTCGCGCGCGATCAAACGAAAAAGTCAGTCAGGATTCGGGTTGCTCAGTTGGAGAGACACTCTACGCAAGAGCAGAAACAATGGCGGCGGATAGTGTAGTTAGTGCTTCAAGGTGGAGGTCTTGGCTTCAGCGTCTATGAAGAATGTGGAATTTCGAATTCTCCATGAAACATTTCTTAGCCAGTCAAGTCGCTAACATTTGCCAACCAGGCTAGTGCCTGTGGTCTACCCACGAGAATTGCCTGTGAGTTGGGTGAGGTGGAGAGTAGGAGGCCTACGTGTAGGCTCTGAGCTTGGGCCACGTGAGCTACTTTGCTGGAATGGATTTCTGCGAAGGTGGAATTCGGTTGACGTGTACAGTCATGTTCATCCCAAGGCTAGGTGTAGCTGAGAAATTGCCCTAACATCAACTAAATATTCAATGAAGTGATCGAGCAAATGACACTTGTGAGGTGAGTGACACCCCCTAAATACATAAGCACCAAGAACCATCTCCATCACGAGAGGACATACAGAATAGCAGCGCATTTGATTACGTTTTACTATTCACTTCAGCACAACGTTGATATAGCTCGTTGTTCGAGCATGCTCTGTACCATAAGTACATCCTCCAGCGACTGTTTATTTGGGACTGCACACAAGACAAACAGAATACATGAGTCAACAAAACATCCAACAGGGAACAACTAAGCAGAGCAACGGTAAGGAATTAGCTGTCATAAATCAACCACTAACCACTGGGTTAATAGCGGGTCAGTGCGCCCATAGCCCCCCAGGCTCTGCACCTGTGGCCCTTCCCCGAGGATCTTCTCAAGGGTAACCCCAGCGGATCACTCGACATCAGCTATCTCACATGAAGGCTTTTGATGTGTGAAATATCTGCCCCAATCATTGCAACTGCGAAAATCAATGGCCCTACTGCTCCTGCTGGTAATCTCTGTCAAACACATCTGAGTATGTTCCTATAGACTATACAGGGTTGTGCCTTAGAGAGTACAACCCACTGGACTATATTCTATTGTACTCCCTCATTCTAGCCATTATAACATTCAAACATGGTATCATGAGTAGGTTAGGTCCCACTCGCCCACTAGCGCTTCCGCCATAGGTCTTAGCCGGCCTGCGCCCGCGCCCGTAGCCGGCCCCGTCCCGCGCCCGTGCCCGTAGCCGGCCGCCTCGTAGCCGGCCCCGTTCCGCGCCCGTAGCCGGCCCCGTCCCGCGCCTGTCCCGTAGCCGGCCCCGTCCCACGCCCGTCCCGTAGCCGGCCCGCGCCCGCGCCTGTCCCGTAGCCGGCCCGTGCCCGCGCCCGTAGCCGGCCCGTTCCGCGCCCGCGCCTCTAGCCGGCCCATCCCGCACCTGCGCTCGTAGCCCAGCCCATCCCGCACCCACGCTCGCACCTGTCGCCGGCCCCGTCCCGTAGCCCGGCCCGTCGCCGTCCCGTAGCCGGCCCGGCCCGGCCCGTTCCGCACAGCCGGCCCCGTCGCCCGCCCGGCCCCGTCGCCCAGCCGCCCCTGTCGCACAACCGGCCCCTGCGGCTCCTGCACTGCGCTGCACTGCCCTGCCCTGCTTAGCACTGCACTGCACCGCACTGCACAGCTCTGCACCACACTGCACTGCACCGCCCTGCACCGCACTACCCCATATTGCAGTCTCACGCACTGCACTGTACTGCACTGCACCCGGCTACTTCCCGCCTACCGCCTCTTTGCCGCTGCATCGCTCCTGATGGCGGACTCTGTGCTGCGCTTTGACGCGGAGGGTCAGCCGATCGAGTTCGACACATGGCTCGTCGATCTCCGTAGTCAGCTCACTGGTCAGCGGCAGGACGACCACTCATTGGCCATCCACATCGACGGTATGCTCCCCTGCCCTGACCCCCCTGCTGCTCTGCGCGCTGACCCCACGTCAGCTGACCGTGAGTCCGCTGCCGCTGCTGCCCTTCCCCGTGCAGTTTGGTTGTCCCGTGACGCTGTCGCACAGCTTGCAATCAGTCATGCCCTCCCCCTGTCTGAACGTCCCTACTTTTGGTCGGTTAGGACCGCGCAGGAGTTCCTAGAGGCTGTTGTTGCGCGCTATTCGACCCCGCCCTCCGCCTCCGTCGATCGCCTGATCCTGCCCCTGCTTTTTCCTGATCTCGCGTCTTTCCCCTCTGTCACTGACGTAGCTGCCCACTTGCACACGCTAGACTCGACCTGACACTCTGCCTGCACTGAGGCCCAGCTTCGCGTGGCCAGCCCCACCATCTGCGCTACCCTCTACCTGCTTGCCACTCGACTCCCTGACCGCCTTGCTACTGCCCGTGATCACTTTCTTAGTCTCCACCCCGCTGACCTCACCCTCACTGACTTTGTCGACACCCTATCTGCCATAGAGACCCGCCAGCACTCTATCACCCAGTCGAGTGGCACTGCGCCGGTCACTATCTTTCAGGGCTGTACACCAGCTCAGTGCACTTTCTCTGATGGCTCTGCTTCTGTGGCTGAGACAGCTGCCGCAGCGCAGTTCCGTCCGGGAAAGGGTCGCCGCCCCAAGGCTAGGCGCGGTGGTGGTAGCGGAGGCGAGGGTGCAGGAGGTAGTGGATCCGGGTCGCCCGCTGGGAGTGCTGACAAGGGGGCTGGGGCTGGCACCGCCGAGCAGCAATCCCAGCAGCAGCAGCAAGTTCCACCGCTGGACCAGCAGCAGCCGCAGCAGCAGCGGCGGGTTGGTCGTCTCCCGCCCGGGTGGCCAGGCGCTGGTGGTGGCGGCGGTCGCGGTGGTCGTGCGCGCAGAGTGACGTCTGGTGGTGGTTCGAGTGACGGGCGCAGCCAGTACCAGCTCCAGACCGGTCCTTGCCGTGGCCTCGTGTGCAGTGTGCCTAACTCAGACTCCCCTGCTGCGTCAGGCGTTCGATCCCCTGCTTCGTTTAGCCTAGGCTCCTCCCTCGCTTCTTCAGCCCCTGCCGCCACTGGCGCACTCTTCTTCACCCTTGACTCCGGCGCTTCCCAGTGCTTCTTTCGGGACTCCACTACCCTCACGCCGCTTGCCGCTCCCGCCGCAGTTTCCCTTGCTGACCCTTCCTCAGGCCCTGTCATCGCCCGTAGCTCCAATACCCATCCCTGTCCGGCAGCTCCTTCGGGCTCTCTTACAGGCCTGCACATCCCCTTGTTCTTTAGGAACCTAGTTGGTGTCGGCTGCCTCCAGGACCTTGGTGTCACCACTACGTTCCCTGGTCACAAGCGGTACGCTGTCTGTACCGAGGCCGCCACTGGTGCTCCCCTCACCACATTCCCCTGGGACCCGGTGTCTGGCCTGTTCACGCTGGACACCGTGTTCCCCCCAGTTGGGATGTCTCCCCAGGTGGCTGTGTCTCCCCAGGTTGCTGCGGCTTGCTCGTGTCGGTCGCTTACTCACCCGACGCTACTGTGGCACCACCGTCTAGGTCACCATGCCCTCCCTCGTCTTCGTCACATGTCTCAGCACGGTCTTGTTTTAGGTCTCCCTGGGTCGTTCCCCGCACTCCCCTCCTCACCCGCGCCACCGTGCACCCCCTACGTCGAGGGCCGGCTCCGCCGTGCCCCTCATTCCTCCTCGTTCCCCCCCACCACTGCACCAATGCAGACCTTGCACATGGGCGTCTGAGGCCCTGTCCCCGTCCATGGGCCACTTCGTGAGCGTTACTTCCTCGTCCTTGTTGACGACCACACTCGTTACACCACCGTGTTTCCCCTGGAGCGGAAGGCCGACGTGCCTGACGTTCTTATCCCGTGGCTTGTCTCTGCGCGTGTGCACCGAGGTCTCCCTATGCTTCGTCTTCACTCCAACCGTGGTGGCGAGTTCGCCTCTGGCTGCCTTGGTCGCTTCTGTCGTGCGGAGGGCATCACCCAGACGTTCACCCTGCCGGACTCCCCACAGCAGAATGGGGTCGCTGAGCGACACATCGATTTGGTCATGGAGGTGGCTGGTACCTCCATGATCCATGCCGGTGCACCCCATTTTTTGTGGCCGTTCGCTGTTCGCTACACCGCTCACCAGCTTAACCTGTGGCCGCACCCTCAGCGGCCGAAGGTTTCGCCGACCCTCCTCTGGACCCGGTCTCCTGGTGACTCGTCTGCATTCCACGTTTGGGGCTACCTTGCTCCCGTTCGTGCCTCCGGCACGGACAAGTTCACTGCCCGCACCGTCCCCTGTGTCTTCCTAGGTTTCCCCCTCGACTCGTCTGATTGGCACTTCTACCACCCACCGTCTCACCATTTCTTTCACTCTTGCGACGTTATTTTCTACCACCGCTTTCCCCACCGTGGTCCCCCGGTTACTCCCCCCCTATTCCTGGTTCCCCCTCCCCCGATCGCCCCTGCTTCCCCCCCTCCCGCCCTGCCCTGTCTGGTGTGTCTCACGTCACCCCCCTCCAGTCGGTTCTCCCTGTTGAGGAGTCTGCTGACTCTAGTGGCCCTGCGGCGAAGTCCTCGCCGCCTGCCCTCTCCTCAGTGTCTCCTCCTCTGCCGTTGAAGTCGCAGCCGCAGCCGTCCTCCCTAGTGCTGAGATAGTTCCTGAATCTGGGGGTGTTCCTTCTGGGGGTGCTGGAGTGGAGTATTTCGGAGGTAGCCCTGGAGCAGCTGGCGGTCCAGGTGTCGGCGTCTTGCAGCCGCAGTAGCAGCAGTCGCCGCCGGTGTCCGCCCTTCGCCTGCTCGGCCTTCCCTCCCTTGACCGCGCATCTGCGCCTCTCTTACCGTCCCCTCCTCTTACTGTCTACGGCCCTATGTTCCCTCCTCCGGACTCATCTCCGGTTTGTCTTTCCCCTCGTTCCCCCCTTGTGTCCCCTCCTCTGTCTCCTAACCAGACGCCCCCGTCCCACGTCTGGTCTCGCCGTCCCTCTCGTGCTCGTCCGGTCTCTCCTGTTCGGCGCTCTCACCCTATGTTGCTTCGTTCCCACGTGTCTCGTCCTCCTTTCCTGCCGTCGCCTCCTCCGTCCTCACTTCTTGTCGCGCCTCCCCCTCTGTCTGACTACCTTCGTGCCGCTCGTCCTCTTGTTTCTCGGGTCCTTGCCTCTCTCGTTACTGACCCGTCTATTCCTGTTTCGCGTCTTGATGCTCTTGTCGCTGCTGTCGCTGACTTCGCCTCTACCCACCGCCTTGACTACGCCACCGCTCTGGT